AACCATTTCTCTTCATGGCTTTTAGCCAATCTTGTGACAGTTGTCTACTTTTCAGTATCCTCCTTAGTTGTATCTGAAAAGGTCAGTGGAAAATATCCTCATCAGCTGGGTGGTATTGTGTCTGGTTTCAGGCTATAGGGTGTTGGGGACCCAGGGTTCCTTTTTTAATCTCCATTAATTTCTCCTGATGGAGGCTGTTACTTTCGGTAATAATACCTTATGGCCTGTGGGTTTTAGTCAACTTCATGCCCAGTGGTCTTTTCATAGGATTTTCTCAGACTTGCTTTTTTAAATTTATTTTTCCCCCACCGCCACCCCCAGACATGCTTATCTTATTATATACTTAATTTACACTCCCTTTAGTTTACAGGTTTTCCTGAGAACGCTTTGGTCCTCTTCCCTAGAAACTGTTCATCTGAAGGACCAAGGTAGCCCAATTTGACTTACTAAAGAAAGGCTGGCAGTTTACACCTTTGATGGATCTTTGACCCCAGTCTTTTTCTGAATTTGAAAATTTTTTACAAGGTGGAGGGGACTTTCAACACTGAAATGCATGGAATTTTTAGGTTCTCCTTTTGTCATTTTGCTCTTTTTTAAACTTGTTTCTTTCTTGAAGTGCCCTATTTATCCTGCTAACAACCTACTCAAGATGCTAGCATTCTATCTTGAAGCCTTTTCACCCAAAGCCACTGAATTTTCTTTCACATTATCGCAGGTGACCGTGTTACCCATTGTATAAAAATATATTAGGATTTTCCATTTCTCAGCCCCAAAGTCAGTGTCACATGTTTAAAGTTTTTACATAAATGTCTGTATCCATGTTATATATAGGTTCGGCACCAGCCATGGCTATCCTCAGCCATGTACCTGAGCACAAACTCTGGAGTACAGAGCTAAACTATAGAAGCCCTTCTGAAAGTTCTGTTCTCCACCTTGAGAACAGGATGTGTTAGTGATAGCTTTTTTGCAGTGAGTCCTGAAATGACAAGATAGTGGAATAGAGCCCAGAAAAGCTGAAACCATCTCATAATCTGCATGTAAAACAAGAAATATTTGATACAAGCCACTGAGATATTTGGAGTTGTATTTGCATTAGTTGTTGCTTATGTTAACATATTTTTAACTGTTTACTAATAGTTTCCTACCGTGCCTTCACCTGTTAAAAAGGGAAATTGTCACTATGGAGAAGTCTGTTTTTCATGAAGGACCACTGGGAAAATACTTGTTTGTAGCAAGCCATGATAGTTAAGGCTGTGGCAGTCTGCTTTGGTATTGTTCAAAAGCCTTTGAAATACTAATCCCATCTCTTATGACCTTATGGTACACTTCTTAATCTATGTTTAATAATTTTTAAAAAGCTGCATGGTATTCCACTGTATGTACAATTCTTAACATCTGTCTCAGGTATGGATACATCCTTTTAAAAACACTGTCATCTATTCTGTACATGTGCAGATATACTGGTTAGAATACATTGCTGGAAGCAAATTTGCTAGTTCAGGGGTATTTGGATTTTTAATATCTGCTTCCATTGAGGGGATATTTTGGGCGAGGAATTGGTCAGTATCTCTTAAGAGCCATGGAAATGCTTTCTGTATTTGACTTGGTATTCTCATATCCATGAAATTATCAAAATACTCACATTTGTGAAAATATTGAAGAAAGTTAAAATGATTTTACATGCATGCCTTTTCTATCGATTAGAAATTAACGAGGAAACCCATGTGACATTTGAAAATAAGCATAGCCAATGATGGTTATGTGACAAGGAAATTTCTAAAGAGATTAAAGAATCAATTTTTTTCTCTTCCAATTTAATAATCTCTTAAAGGTTCAAGGAAGCAGTTGTCTGGTAGGTGGTCACTGGATTTGGAACCGTGATACTGGGCTAATTATTTGACCTTTCACACCATCATTTTCTCCTTCGTCGAATGGAATGGGTTGGACTAATGATCTGAAGTCTCTTCCACCTCTCAGATCCATTGATATAATTGTATAGTCTTCGAAAATCTCAGTGAAATTACTAGATTAGTAAAAAGATTAATTTTTTAAACAGCTTGTCCAAGCTTCAAGTTGTATTTTTTTTATGGGATGGCTTTAGTTGAATGTATATACCATGAAAGTAATTATATGGTCAGCAATGGCATCATTTGGTTCTCCTAGAGCCTGTCATCGTACCATAAATACTTGTATTTATTTCTGCTGTACTAGTTCCCATAAAGATCATCCAGTAGTAACATTAGGCTTACTGAGCAATTTTGGTAGTTTTGACTTAGTGATGTCTGTAATTCCATTGGTGATGGGAATGCTTAGTGCTAGTGAATTCAGCACTGTTACGTATTATGCTTAATTACCATATATTTTATCATTATATGCATAAGTTTGGGAGCCTTTTACCTTGCAAAGTATTTCTTTGAATTCTAAAGTGATCCTATTTGATCATAAGCAGTTCACTTCTGCAATTGTATTTTTCCCAATCTGTGTACTTTTTAAACATGTTATTCTTACAATTATGTAGAATATAAGATCCAGGTGTCTCACCCATCTTCTGTATTGCTGTATCCCCACAGTGAAGAATTACCTTGGGACGTAAGATCATATTAGGTAATTTTTTCAGCAAATACAGAACATTACAAAAAGCTAGGAAAACAAAGGGAAAAAATCACTTTTTTATTACCTTAATGCCACTGTAATTTTTGTATTTTCTAATTTATATGAAAAGGATGTTCTTTTTTCCTTTTATGATTGGATGGTAAAGACATTTCGTTATATTTTACTAGAAGATACATTAAATTTGTCTTTAAGTAAAAATTTATTGCTTCCTGTTATCTGGTTAGGAGAGTATGGTTAAAAGACAGCTAATAATGATTCCCAAAAAAACTACTTTACATTGCTGTATTCTCTAAAATAGGGTAACTGAAGAAGACAAAAGTAAGAAAAAGGGGCAAGAAGAAAAACAACCTAAAAAGCAGCTTAAAAAGGATGAAGACGGCCAGAAGGAAGAAGATAAACCAAGAAAAGAGCCAGACAAAAAGGAAGGGAAGAAAGAAGTTGAATCCAAAAGAAAAAATTTAGTTAAAACAGGGGTCACATCAACCTCTGATTCTGAAGAGGAAGGAGATGATCAAGAAAGTGAAAAGGTACAGTGTTTATCAAGTAAAATATTTGTTCTATTTTTAGTTGCCTATGTAGTTCTTATTTTTTACCTAGTAAGCTTTCAGTATCTCATAGTATGAGTGTGATTAAAAGTAAAACTGAATTTCTCTACCTTTGTAAGCTTGAACTAGCTGTTTTTTTATTGGACATTCTAAATCTGTCACCTTTTCACAATTATAATGTGGAAATCAAATGTTATATAATAAACTTCCAATAACCCACTTATCTAGAAAAGTAGAAATTAAGCCAAATGGACTGTGACCAGTGAAAACAGATATAAAAGAGATGCATTTATACATTTTTATTATTTACTACAATGAAATTCTTAGCATTCTTCAGGCCTATTTTAGTGTACATTTATCAGTGGTATTTTATTTGAATGCCACAGTTGTTTAGGAATTTGATTAAAGCTATACATCTTTTTACATAGAGAAACACAAGTATAGTGTATAGCCTTGGAGATCTACAGACCCAGGTCATGTATCTTTGTTTTTCTTATTTCTTAATACTTTCTTTAGAAGCCAAAATTTTTAATTGGATAGCTTGAGCAATGTACTTGTCAGTAACAGGTACTCGTCAGTAAACAAACAGGTCAGAACCATAATATGGAGAACCACAGTACAGCTGGCAAATAGCCTGACATACTTTTTTTTTTTTTTTTTAAGATTTTATTTATTTGCGAGAGAGAGAATGAGAGACAGAGAGCATGAGAGGGAGGAGGGTCAGAGGGAGAAGCAGACTCCCCGCCAAGCAGGGAGCCCGATGCGGGACTCGATCCCGGGACTCCAGGATCATGACCTGAGCCGAAGGCAGTCGCTTAACCGACTGAGCCACCCAGGCGCCCAGCCTGACATACTTTTATTCCCCGAGTCATCAAGGGCAAGTTCAGACAGCAACATGTATAATTCTGAGATTTTTTAAGTATTAGTTGCTTTTTTTCCTCCCAAGATTGTAATCCTAGAAGCACTTGTCCCTGACTTGATAGTTAACTAAATTCATCCTAATTCTCAAAACAGAAGAGAAAAGGTGGAAGGAACTTTCAAAATCCTCATAGAAGGAATATGCTGAAAGGCCAGCATGAGAAAGAAGCAGCAGATAGAAAACGCAAGCAAGAGGAACAGATGGAAACTGAGCAGTAAGTATTTTTTTATTCTAAATTTTGATTTCCTTTTTAAACTAGCATGAAATTTTTAAATGACAGAATCTCATTTTCCGGACCATATGAAGCCTTTTAGAGAAGTGACTTTTCCCAGGTGTTAGAAAAAAAATCTTCATTATATGATGATAATCATGTTTTAGGCTTCATTCTTTGCTGAGTAAGAGGATGAAATTCACTGAGGTAATCACTCTGAATTATTTTTAATTTAAACTGAAAGTGCAGATAGGATTTAACTGTTAGTGGCTTTGCTGAAAATGTCCTCATCCTCTACTATTCACTTGTTAAGTATTAAATACAGAAGAGTGGTGATAATATGTTGGTGGAGAATTAAATATCCTTATTTGTCACATACCACCAGCAGGCCACTCCCAAAAGACCAGCAAAAATAATAGCAGCACAGTTGTAACCCCAAGAAGGCCAGTAAATCTAAAGGCTGACGGGGTTTGCATTAAGTGTGTGTAATATAAATCAAGTTCAAAGTTGATTTAAGTTTTGATACCTGGAGACAGTATATACAGACCATGGGGAATTTCTTTCCCCTTCAGTTTTATTCTATAAAGTAGTTTTATTAGAAGGAAAACGCACTGGCGATAATTACACTTCATGTGCTTATTACATTTGTTTTCCTAGTTATCTCGAGACTGTCACTTCCGAATTCTTTCTTTGAAAAGTGTTTTGTGAAGCATCTTGCATTATTCTGACTAAACTTGGTGGTGGTGTTTTTTTTTTTGTTAATGGAGGTGATTTTAAACACATGCTGTAGGTCACTAAGACAAACTTAATGATAAGTAGTGAATTCGTTAAGTAATTTTGTACTTTTTCTTTATAAAATACATTTGTAAGCCAAAAGTCTCTCTACAAGTATAGCATTTGACTATTCTGCTTTCTTAGTTGTTTGGAGGAGGATTATATAAGCAGTTTCATCTGCTTGAGGGGAGTAATTTAAAAATTGATCTAAAGCTCAAAAATGTTACTCCCTCTATTCTGTTAGACTTTTGACCATTTCTGTAAATTAAAGTTATTTTTTGTTACCTATCCTTTCCTATCCTTTCACTGAAAAGTTGTTGGACTGTTTGTTGCTTTTAACTTTATTGTGCTCCCCAAATTAGGATATAAAATTAGTCATTGCTTAGTAAATCTAGCCCCAACCCTTCTTCAGTATCTCAAAGTTACCTTTGTGTTTCAGTTTCTTTTTGAATGTCCTCCGAATGTAACTTTCTCAAATTCTAATATTTGTGTTTTCTTTCCTTCTCCTGTTATTACAAAACTTTGTACTTGGACAGTTTTGCTCTGTAAAGCATTTCAGATGCAGCTTGTGTGAAATGCATTATGCAAAATAAAGTTTATTGTATTGTATTCCCAGCCAAACAACATGTAATCTACAGTAATAAAAAATATATCTCATTTTGGGCTCAAAGCATTAATCCAGTTACTGAAAAGAGAATACAAGTGGAGCAAACAAGAGATGAAGATCTTGAGACAGACTCATTGGACTGAATTTCCCCCTCCCCCCCCTTGATGGAAGAATGTTGCAGATTCTAAATTGAGGACTTCATTAATGGCATTATTACTGTGTTATGATTGTTAAAAAAAAAAAAAAAAATTCCTGTAAGGTACACACTACATACCAAGGTCGGCCATCATTCCTGTTAAAGTTTTTTTTTACCAAGCTTAAGATGAAGCTTTGTGTTTGAAAGTTAGAAGATGGTGGTTGTACATTATTTCATTTAGAAAATATAAAAATTCATTTTGTTTTGAAGCTAGGTGTTAAACTGGAATAGCTCTTATACCCCAGAGAATGGGGCAGTTGTGCCCTTCCCTTGACATTCCTTTGTTGTTTAATTCTTTAGACTCTTAATAATTGTTTTTTTTAATCTTGAGAGATTAAACAGTAGACTTGTTAAGAAAACAAAAATGAAACTGTAACCAAAATTTTAAAATAAAGTTTTTTTAAAAAAAAACAACCTGATTTTTAGATATTGTTTTGTTCTTGTCTATTTCAATTGGTTTATAATAGGGCCCGAACTCAAAGCCAAGGTACTAGAAATTAAGAACTCATTTTTAAATGGTTATTTTTGTGATTTGCAGTAAAATGCTACCTTTTCTTTTGTGAAATGGTATGTAAATGTCAGTGAATGTCATTTAAGTTTGATATATTAGCCAAAAAAAGCCATTTTAATACAATAGTATCATCTTTGAACAGTCTGTTTAACCTAGAAACTTAACCCCTCCAATTATCTACCCTTTTGGAGATGTGGGAAAAATTAGTGTTTTTGACACGCTACTTCTAAAAATAATTGTGATGTAGAACTCATGAAATGTTTATAGGCATTCTCTTTCCCACTGTGGTCTGCTTGTCCACTGACCCTGAAATTGGGTCTTTAACACTTTGTACTGTTGGAAAAAAATTTCACCATGACAAGTGTTAAAATTATTTGTGATGCCACTGAAAAGTTAGATTTTAGCATGTTAATTTTTACATGTGTTTTAGTAATTAATACTAATGCTGTGGCATCCCAGAGTTCTATGAATTATAGTCAATTCCTTATGACCTAGGCTATTGATTTTCTATCTTAAAAAAATTTTTAGCTTTTACCTAAGGGATTGTGGGCATTTGGTAATCAGTCACAAAGTTCCAATGTTTTGAAATATTTGTGTTAACATTTGATAGGCAGAATAAAGATGAAGGAAAGAAGCCAGAAGTTAAGAAAGTGGAGAAGAAGCGAGGTTAGTTATTTCACTTTCTAAGATGTTTAAATTAATAGGAAATTATATCCTTAATTTTTCATGTATAGGTTTTAAAATCAGTCATTTTATGTTCTTAAATCCTACAAAAGTGCTTTTTCAAATCCCTGATGAATTCTGTATACATTATATTTTGATTAGGTGCATTTGCTAAGGACTCAGGCTAGTTTTATTGCTCATTATCTAATGGTCACATTTTTGTAACATTGCCAAAAGCTAGATATTTTCCCATTTTTGACAAATCTCATGGTTTCAGATAAGAGTTTCTATTTCTGGTCACATGTGTAAGTAAGGTAAAACAGCTGTTTAAGGATTGGAATAGAGGGGTTTATTAACTGGATACAGACTGCTTATTTTAGAAACTTATGTAGCTAGATGGTGATTTTTTTCTTCAAATGATGAATGTTGTTTTCCTAAATACTTAAAATGGCAAATAACTTCTTGGTGAACTAGGCAGATTATGAAGAACATTTTTAAAAATTCAAATCTTGTCATTGTGCTTTGCCTATTAGATTTATATAGAAATACTGGTTTTGGAAAAATTATTTACTGTGTTTTAAATTTTAATTTATAGAAACATCAATGGATTCTCGACTTCAAAGGATACATGCTGAAATTAAAAATTCACTCAAAATTGATAATCTTGTAAGTCTTTATAAATACCTCATTTAAAAATATAGTACTCCTTTTATAGCTTCATATTTTTTCTCATGTTTTATAAGTATGTGTAAATTTAAGAAAAATGCGACTACTACTGGTTCTTTTGTACTGCCTTGTTTTGAGATTTTAAAAGTAAACTTTAGGACTAGATCATATAGGGTGTGGTGATTAACAGCTATGAAATTACTGTCTTGTCATGAAGGATGTGAACAGATGTATTGAGGCCTTGGATGAACTTGCTTCACTTCAGGTCACAATGCAGCAAGCTCAGAAGCACACAGAAATGATTACAACACTGAAAAAAGTAAGTGATCCAGAGTCGTGCAGAGTGTGAAAATTTCCTCATCAACAGTTCATTGAGAAGTACCATTTTACAAATCAGTGAAGAAAACAATTGTGAGTGTCTATTTTGTTTTCTCAGATACGGCGATTCAAAGTTAGCCAGGTTATCATGGAAAAGTCTACAATGCTGTATAACAAGTTTAAGAATATGTTTTTGGTTGGTGAAGGAGATTCTGTGATCACACAAGTGCTGAATAAATCTCTTGCCGAACAAAGACAGCATGAGGAAGCAAATAAAACCAAAGATCAAGGGAAGAAAGGGCCAAACAAAAAGCTAGAAAAGGAACAAACAGGTATGTGATGATAAGTTGTTTGCTGGGACTGCTTTTAAAAAATGGCTTTGATGTATAATTTCATTAATACCTTATCTAAGGTTTCATAAAGCACTTAGAAAAACAGAAGCTAAGGTTGAGCATTTCTGTTTAAATCAGTTATAATCAAGCTTAAATTAGCAGTTGCTGTTCTCTTTTCACTTAAAGTAGGAATAATTTCTGACAATAGTAGACAAGAAAGGAACTTCCCGTGTTCCCATCACTCAGCTCCTGCATTTATCAGTAAATGATCGTTGCTCTTTTTTACCCTTACCAGGTTTCTCTGTGAAGCAAATTCCAGATACGCTATTTCAACCACAAATATGTTAGGATGTATCTGTGATGGATTCTTAAATAGAACATAGTGTCATTCATTATCGGCTCCCCCAATTCCAATTTATCAAATGTCTTTAGGAGTTGGAGATTTTATTTATTAGGGAATGATGATCTAGGTCTCCTTAGAGATTTCTTAGAAATAGGATTTACAGGGATGCCCTCCTTATTTACTTAGGTAGGACACAAAATCGTGTTAAGAATCGTACTTTTGACACCTCGTTGTAAAATACCAAGGAAAGATATAAAAATGTGCATCATAGTAAAATTTTATAAGAAAGGGAATGACCAGATTAAAAGGGCCCCCCCACCCCCGCTTTTGGCGCCTGGGTGGCTTGGTTGAATGTCCAACTGTTGATTTCGGCTCAGGTCATGATCTCAAGATTGTGAGATGGAGCACGGTGTCTACTTGAGATCCTCTCTTCTCCTTTGGCCCCCCCCCCCCCGCTTGTACACACATACTGTCTAAAATAAATGAAATCTTTAAAAAGCCCCCCTTTCTTGTACCCATATATAGTAACCCTGCTATTTAGTGTGCCTCAGCTACCCAAAAGATTACAGTGTAATTTCAAATAAGGTGTATTAAGTATTAGAAACTTTAGGGCCAGGTTTTATTTTTTATTTTGGCTCTTTAGAGGACATCTTAAAGTACTAGAAGCTCTAACAGTTTTTCCATTGGAACCTTTTTAAAGGTTCAAAGACTCTAAATGGAGGCTCCGATGCTCAAGACAGTAATCAACCACAACATAATGGAGACAGCAGTGAAGAAAGCAAAGACAACCACGAGGCCAGCAGTAAGAAAAAGTGAGGACGTGTTTTAATGGGTCATGTATATTTTTAATTTTTAAGTCACATTGCTGTTCCAAGGTTATTTATATAGGATTGTATTTTGATCACTCAATTCCTGAACTCAGGAAGCAAGATACAAATCAAAACGGCAAAAAGCAAAAAACTTTATAATTTACATTTAACTTGCCTGTACTCAAAGGGAATAGAGCTAGATAGTAGGAATCCAGTTTAAAGTAACTATTCATCTTTGGACTTCTTTCACTGATAACAGCTTTAATAGTGATATCATTCATACTTTCTTGCATTGTGACTGGGTAATACAAAAATAAGATCTAGAATCACAGGCTGTTTTGTATATAGCCTCTAAATAACTAGTTATTGGACTGTAGTTATCCTAGTCTTGGTTTGTTCTGCACGTTTGAAGGACTTGGAATCAAGCATCCCTTCTAATTCTGAAATTCAGGGAAATCTTATCTGTGTCTATGTCATCGACCCTCTCCTTATTAAGGTTTGTAATATGTTGGTATCACAGATATAACCTTTTCATGTTTTTTATTTAAAGCTGGAAATGATGGAAAGGGCCTGAGCCATGATGCTTCCCTGAGTTAATTTGCTTGATCTGAATATTACTTTAGGAAGAAGATACAACACGGAAAATTAAATTTTGAACAAAAAGTCAAGATTTTTTAAAATAACTTGATGATCATCAAATTATTTTAAAAATAAAAACAATGCACGGATTTAATGTGTTCTCTGACCCCCATGAAGGAGAAAAGCCCCTAATCCCACTTGACACACCTTTCTTTCCTTCCTTTAGGCCATCCAGTGAAGAGAGAGAGCCTGAAATATCTCTGAAGGATTCTACACTAGATAATTAGGTTGACATACCTGGAATATAAAGAACATTTGAAGAGTTTGTAATGGTTTTCATTTGAAATATTTAGACTGCTGAAAGTTTTAAATTTTTATAAGCATAGGTTTTGATGTTGAAAACTTGTTTTGAGGGAGAAAAATCCCTTTATATTTGTTTAAAAGTCATTAAACATTATTGCTAATTGTACTTGTGCAGTATTAACAGCTACACTATTCAGTAAATGTGAGGGAAAACCCATTTAGGAAATGTTAAACTGCTTTTCCAGACATTTGGTTGTAGCATAATTTCAATTAGTGTGTGTATGTTAATGTGTAATAGTAGAAAAAAGTTACATTTTTAAAACTGCTACTTGTATAAACCTTTCCTCTTTTCCCAAATACTGTGGGTTTTGTGCATAGTTTTTACAAACCTTGGATTTACCAGACTGTCTTTTCACTGTTTGTGGGTTTTGTAGAAGTTACGCATTTTTATGGTAGATAAAATGTTACTTCTATACAAGTACTCACTCCTTTTATCAAAAGTTAATTTTAATTTCACAGTCTACATTGTGCTACATCATCCTGCTGCTTTGTAACAAACAATTTGTGGTCTGTTTGCCTTTTGTATGACAACTAGAGATATCCAACTGACAATTCTACAAGGTACAAAACTCATGCTAACTTTTGAAGGTAACTTAGTTTTATGGCTGGGAAGTCAGTGAGGTCACGTGACTTCTACAGCAAGGAGAAGGGGGTATGTTTAGGAATGAATCTGGCTTTAGGGTTCAGCCATCTGAGATCCTTTACAGGCACTAATAGCTGAAACTAAAAAATGATAAAAGTTTATTTTTGAGAACTGTCTCACGTTTCTGAATTTTTAAAAAGTCACACTCATTAAGGAAGTCACTAAGTATTTTTTTAATTGGGAAAAAAAATTCCATGATTCTTATGCAGTAAATAGTAGAAGTAAATGCTATATAAGAAAAACTAACCTATTTGAAAACATGGCTCTATCAGAAGGGGATTCTTAGAGATCCTCCATGTGACAGAATTGTAAGTAGAAAATATATGTTGCTCCGAGGCAGTTAAAGTAAAGGAGTACTTTGGTAGTCTGTATATTCATATATATGGACTAAATCAGGGTAAACCAAGGTTAACAAAATTTAAGGGTAACTTAACAGATAGCATTTTTAAGATATTTTGATTATTAGGTCAGTTGGTGGTTTCAGTAGCTAAAAGACTTCTCATGTTTTGAAAATATGAATACGGAGAAGAGGCTTAATACCAGTGTTTGCATGTGACATGCATTGTATGTTCTGACCTCTCAGATAATGGTTTTCATCTATAAATGAATAGTTTGAATTATTTCAGTAATTGGAGTTTTGCTTTTTGAGAGGTCTTACAATGGAACTGGGACCTACTGTTTTGAGGGAACTATTGATACTACATTTTATCTGGTCCTTAATACAATTTAAATTTGGACAGACTTAATCTAGTTAAGCCATAAGTGTCAACATTGTAAACTTGTTTTGATTAAAGGATTTTTCTATCAAACTCTACTAGTAAATTAATTATTTGCTATTTACAAAAGTGGTTTTGGAATTCTGGATTTGCTTCCAAGGGAGTAATTTCTTGGTTAGCTTGGTATTACAGAGATTGTGTTGTCTGGGGAGATAGATAGGGTAACTAAATATAGTAAGCTAAAAATGTTTGTTATTTTATTCTATAACCCAGCAACACAGCAATATAGTTTACTAGGAAACCACAGAATATTCAACTTCAGGAGATACATATAGCAGCATTCTGATAATTTATGTATGTTTTTTTTGGGCTGGCCTTGCTCAAAACAGTTGATTAATACAGTGTGAAAATATAACTGCCCTTCCATTTTCTGTTGGGTCATAAGCTGATTCACAGGTGACTACCACTCTCCGAACTCTTAAGTCATAAATACTAAACTTTCAGGAGCATTTGCTCCATTTTAATTGCGTATTTGATCAAAACTCCACTGCTGAACAAGTCACTAAGATAATTTAAACGAAATAGCAAAAGAGAAGATATTTTCTTCTCTTTGCGGGGGGCATGTATAAACCACCTATTTTGTGCTATTTAAACCTACTGGCCAACATTTAAGAGTAAGCTATGGACGGCCCTGCAGAATGAATTGCTGGAAGCTTTCTCAGCTGCTCTGGAGATTGCAGAGGTGTCATCTGAACTGGAGAAACTGTATCAACAACTTGATGATCTTAATTAAACCTTCTATTACATGCTGCAGTTTCAAATAGGATGATCTTTTTTACCCAGTTTTTGCTGATACACTGTATGTACTGACACACACTTACCTGATTGAAGATGTCCGGTCAGGAGGAGGTCTGCCCACTAATCCTATATAAAAGCAAAGGCTTACAAGGCTCTGTGAGGGCTTCACTAACAAACACCTTATTTTGTCCCATTGGTCAGAGAAAGGATGATCTATTGGAAATAGCAAACCCATAATTACAAACCTTAAGAAATGAAGTTGCTATATAGGTAGAAATGTTTTCGTATTTGTGCTATGGAATTCTCTAACCTTAGAGATAATAAAGACATTATGATTTGATTAGGAGAAGGTAAAATTATCCTTACCAGGATACCAAAGGCTGAAAAAGATATCTAAAGAAACAGGTATTGCTTTTCTAAATAGTGCTTTTTGTGCATGTTCATCCATTATTATATCAAAATCTCATTTCTAACTACAGAGGATGCTGATTTATAAGTTCATTACCATATTTGCTTTTCTTCATTAGTAAAATGACATATATAATTTAGGTCATGTTTAATATCAAAATTTATAGCTATAAAATACTTAATTCAAGACCTCTTTTAGGCCTGTTTTAAACTTGGAAGGTCTTTTGACCTGAATTTGGTGGGACACCTGTATAACTGATAAACATGGGCAAAATTTCTGGGAGTGGCTAGGTTGGTCAGTCTTCCTCTAGATTTCACAAGAGGAACTGATAACACAAAGGCTCAAATGTCTTTGTGTTAACTTTGCTGGAAAAGTTACCCTCAAGAACCAGAAGGATGAGATTCTTAATAAATGATAAAATAAGGGACGCCTGGGTGGCTCAGTCGGTTAAGCGTCTGCCTTTGGCTTAGATCATGATCCCAGGGCCCTGAGATCAAGTCCCGCATCGGGCTCCTTGCTCAGCGGGCTCCTCGCTCAGCGGGGAGCTTGTGCTTCTCCCTGTTCCTGCCGTTCCCCCTGCTTGTGCGTGCTGACAAATCAAATCTTTAAATTAAAAAAAAAAAAAATTTCACTAGCAGTAATGTTTTAATTGACAGTCTTCTTTGTCCACTAAAATGAATTGATCACATGTGGACTAATGCTTTTGTTAGGACAGTACAGTGCATGTTTTGGAATTTGCTGTTTTGAGAATATGAAATGAAAATGAATCAAAGTAAACACCTAAACATATTACACTATATATTAACTAAGTAGAATTTAAGTAATTTGGAGAGAAAAAAAGAACAGACCCTTGCATACTAATGCAAGACCTACAAGGAATACAGTTTAAAAATAAAGGAAGCGGGGTGCCTGGGTGGCTCCGTCAGTTGAGTGTCCAACTCTTGATTTGGGCTCAGGTCATGATCTCAGGGTCATGGGATTGCATTCTGTGTTGGAATCAGAGTCTGCTTGGGATTCTCTCCCTCTGCCCTTCTCCCCACACGCTCACTCGCTCTCTCGCTCTCTCGCTCTCTAAAAAAAAAAAAAATCTTTTAAAAAGCAGAAATACATTTTTACCTGTAGAACTTACAGGAATTGGGTAAACGTGGTTTTCTAGCAGAATTTTTAATCTGTTCAATTTAGCATCATTGGAAACATGAAAGTAGAAATTTAGACAGTAACATAAGCCAGCCAGGGGAGACACCTCTTCTTTTTACTGATCCTCTGGTGTATTTATTGAATCAGTGAATGAGACCATCACTACACATACCAGAAACAGGTGCTTGTCCTCAGCACACCAATCAACTTAACTGGATATGTCATCTAAGTCCATAAAACATTTCACTGCCAATCTTTTAAACATACAGGCTTAAAGGCTTCATCAGTTTTTGATTTGTATGGTAAATCTCTGTTCTTAGCCATCCAGGGAATGTGGAACTCAGTTGAATTTAAATAAATAACCTAGGAGAGAGAAAGTGGAATTTAAATAATGACACATTTAAAAGGAACTATTTTACAGCATTCTTAAAGTCTTAAAACTAAATTTTCCACCAAAAAAGATTTTGGTAAAACATTTCAATATAGATAGCTGTAATTTTCTGTGATGATCTAGACCTTGGAATTCATCTAAGGTGTCCTTTTGCCCAGAATGAGAAGTGAATAAACTACGGGTTGTCAGGGTGAGGGAGCTGGAGGAATGGAAGAGTTGGGCCAGAAAAACTCTTGTTTTTGCATATAGAATACTGGGTATTATTGTGCAAGAATGAGTGAACCAGAGCTAGCAATCCACACGATCTTGACTTCCCATGTCCCAGTGGTCATATTACATAAAATCTGTTATTTATTTTTTCAAGATTTTATTTTTAAGTAATCTCTACACCCAGTGTGGGACTCAAACTTAAAACCCTGAGATCAATAGTTGCATCCTCTACCAACTGAGCCAGCCAAGTGCCCCAAATCTATTTTCTTAATCATAATATTAAACTGAAAAAGTTCTCATCAAGAAATGAAGCTTCAATTTAAACATTACTTTTGTGAAGGTATGAGTATATACTGAAGATCTTTTTACAATTCATTATTCATGCAGTGAGTCTCATTAAAATGATTAGTATGCTTGCTAGTTTCTACCAAAAACAAAACCTAGGGGCACCTGGGTGGCTCAGTCGTTAAGCGTCTGCCTTCGGCTCAGGTCATGATCCCAGGGTCCTGGGATCGAGCCCCACGTCGGGCTCCCTGCTCTGCGGGAAGCCTGCTTCTCCCTCTCCCACTCCCCCTGCTTGTGTTCCTGCTCTCACTATGTCTCTCTGTCAAATAAATAAATAAAATCTTAAAAAAAAACCCCAAAACCTAGTATTACAAAAGAGCCCACCGTGGGATCAGATTACAGAATAGCTATTCTTAATACTGTATTTGTTAAATCTACTTTTATTCTTCTCCCTCATTTTTATCACAGATATTTAAATAAGGATCTTTACCTTGGAAGCCTCATGGTACAAGGTATAGCTCTCACATTCTTCAAGGAATTTTCAAAATACTTCCACCACTTGATGTATGATTAACTGAATTTTTCTAACTATAGATTAGCAAAAAGTACTCTGGACACAGAATGATTAGACAAGCCACAGACTGGCTAAAAACCAGAATACTTGAATCTGACAGGATTTGTATTCAAAAAAATATAAAGTACTCCTACAACTTAGTATGATAAACACACTTAAAAATGGGCAAATACACTAAATAAAAACCCTATTTTGAAATAAATACTAAAAGATTTCTAAACACAAGTTACTTTATAAGAAAACCTGTGATTTAAAAAAAAAAGAAAACCTGTGATGTGAACTTTTGCAGGGGTGTGGGTAACTAGCTGATTATTTCAGGTGGATCCTGTTCCTCAGTGGCATGTTCTGGAAATAAAGTAACCATCCAAGAGGACAGTTACTTCACAAAGTACATTTTTTGTTATTATTAGTTAAAGGTTCCAGGATCAACATAAGGATAAGCAAGGAATTCTCCTAGTTTGTTGCCTTCTGAATCATAGTGGAGCATCCGAAAGCAAACATCACAAAAGAAACATGGGTCCTCTGGTGCAAAACTGTCATTGTTTGTCACCCATCTGTAATTAAAAAAAAGATGTACATCATTACAATCAACTTTCTCAAGCTTTAATGTGTTATGACCTGTAGTAATGTGTAAACATAACATTCCCACTATTGTCTTACCATCCTATCTTAATATACCATAATCCTTTATAGAATTTTGTGTGTGTATATAGATAGATACAGACATATCACTACCAATACTCTGCAGGGCAAAAGGGCAACTAACAGAAACCCTGCAGAATGCTGTTTCTCTGAAAGACTTCTTAAAGGTAAGTAGAGAAAAATGTAAATCCATACGTGAAAGCATTCTGCACTTTTGATATGACTTACCTATCCTCTAAGTAACTGTTAAAATGTAATAGGCCATCTTGAAAAACCATAATATTATTAGATGCTACAGACCTGATGAACTTTTGTGTAACTTATCTTTTTAACTGGTAAATTAGTCCTGGCTAATTTGAAAACTCCAGGTGTTTTATCTAGAATTCAGGATAAAATGTTATAGAGCGTATACAAATGGGAATATGGGCAACAATCAACTGATACTTTTGTTTTTTGGCCTGAGATGTTACTGGTTTCGGGAAGATCAAAGACTGGTTTTCAGTCTATTTGAATCTGCATCTCATGGTCTATTTTAACATTCCCTGATTTCCAGTTTGATAACTGATTTATCATGTTTTCCTACTTACCATTTAGAAAAGCCTATTGGGGGGGCGGGGAGAACGCCCCCCCTCAAAATCTGATAAACAATTATTCTCTTTTCCTTTGAATTTTTTGACTCTGATCCACAGTTAAACTGTGTGAAGTATCACATAAAGTAAAAAATTTTATGGAACCATATTTTGACCTCATTATACATATATTGAATGCTGTGTTATTTTTACATGGAGGAGCCGTGGATGAAGCTGATTTTGTAAAGCTGCAGAGAAAAAGATGACATGGCTCCCTGATGACACTAAGTATTTATTGACTCATCCAAAGTCTGACCCAGTTCTGGACTTCCACTATATAGAATTCATTTCCTTACTGTTTAAATGTAACCTACTTTGCAGCACTTAACTACTAGATAAAACCATTTCTATTATTTATACCCCCAAAGTTTAAGTTCTCAGATTCAAATCAAAATAGGAAACACTGAAATACCAAAAATCGAAAGTATTTCACTATTGAAAACCAGTAATTCTTGAAGAAAGAAATACGTATCACTTACCTGGCTGTGTACATTTTACAAACAAAACATTTTCTGGTCCACAGCCAATGCTTCTTGATAAGAAGGGGATAAAGTGTCCTATCCAAGCAGTCATCACAATGTGCAAGCCTTTTGTACATGAGACGTAAACGAAGATATTAAAATGCAAATTGTTAAAAAATGCAAATTGTGGTCTGTAAAGAAATATATCTGTACCTCAACATTAAGAACATAGTAGGTATATTTTTCAATTTTTTTCTTATGAAAGACTTAGGTATAAAATCACTTGTTACACTAGGTCTGACCTGTGTTCTACAAAAACACTCTCCTAAAGATCATTTGGGATTAAACAATGTTTTCTTTCCTATGAAACTTCCCAAAGCATTTTATGGTAATGTGTTCTGTGACTCTCTAAGAGGGAGATCTGCATACAGCAGATCTTGAATGTATTCCATCAGAGAGTCCTTGCTTTACTCAACACTTAATACCTTCTTATGAAACATAGTTTGAGCAACTATTTTATCTATTTGGTTATGTGTCATGTGGCTCTTGTTTACCATCCTCTTTATTAAAATCTAAATCGTACTCCTGGTATAATGTGAACTGATAGAGGATTCCAGTTTTAGGTGTCAGAATTCGTAAATTGTAAATGGAAGTCAGTCTCTACTATGCGACTGATCAGCTGACTGGGTGTGAGTAAATTCCTTAACCATGCTGGACCTTAGATTCTTCATCCAAAAAATGAAGGGACTACACCAGAGTGTTCTAAAGGTCCATGACCATTTTAAAATTTGATTCTTACTTTTTGTCCTTTAGTAAGAAAGGGTAGCAATAACTTCGTTATCAGAAAATGATTAATAAAACTTGTAAGCTTACCAACTATTACTAGTTTTTTTTAAAGATTTTATTTATTTATTTGACAGAGAGATAGTGAGAGCAGGAACACAAGCAGGGGGAGTGGGAGAGGGAGAAGCAGGCTTCCCGCGGAGCAGGGAGCCCGATGCGGGGCTTGATCCCAGGACCCTGGAATCCCGACCTGAGCTGAAGGCAGACGCTTAACGACTGAGCCACCCAGGCACCCCAACTTACCAACTATCAGACTATGGAATGGCACTGAATGATTAAGTCCACCTAGAAGATAAAAATGACTTGTAGTCTAAGGGTGCCTGGGTGGCTCAGTGGATTCAGCGTCTGCCTTCGGCTCAGGTCGTGATCCCAGGGTCCTGGGATCAAGCCCTGCTGAGCAGGGAGCCTGCTTCTCCCTCTGCCTCTGCCCCTCCCCCCTGCTCATGTGCCCGCTCTCTCTCTCTCAAATAAGTAAAATCTTTTGTAAAAAATGACTTGTAGTCCAAATTACATTTAAAAATTCTTTAAAGGGCGCCCGCCTGATTCAGGCAGTAGAGCATGTGACTCTTGGTCTTGGGGGTTGTGGGTTCAAGCCCCACACTGGGTGTAGGGACTGCTTAAAAATAAAATCTTTTAAAAACTGAAACTAAAAAATCTTTTTAAAAAGCTAAAACTAAAAATTCCTTAGGAACATCCCACGCTGCAAATGTCTAATAAGCGTCGTTTTCCCACGTTGCCTTGAGTTTAAGGACTGACACTGCAGTATGGTAAGAAATGTTAAACTAAAATCAGAGGAAAGTGGTTTGTCTTCCATCTTATGCTAATTCTCAGGCACGTTCCCCTCAGGGAAAGAGCAGGCAGAATAGCTTATATAAAATTATCAAAGAAATATATCTAATTTTAAGTCCTACAAAACAGGTTTATGAGCTCTCCTGACCCCCTGGCCCTTTGCTTCAGCAAATCTTCCCTAAGGGCCACTGTTTCGCGTACTTAACTGTTTTTTTTAAATTTACCTCCTCAAGGGGCGCCTGGGTGGCTCAGTTGGTTAAGCGACTGCCTTCGGCTCAGGTCATGATCCTGGAGTCCCGGGATCGAGTCCCGCATCGGGCTCCCTGCTCAGCAGGGAGTCTGCTTCTCCCTCTGAACCTCCCCCCTCTCATGTGCTCTCTCTCTCTCAAATAAATAAATAAAATCTTTAAATAAATAAATAAATAAATAAAATAAATTTACCTCCTCAACATCTGTCTACAGAACCAAAATAACTTTGATTAAATATTTAATGTTTACATGATGCCAAATTAGTATTACTACTTACACCTGAACTCCACAACTGACTGCAGATTCCTTTTACTGTGTAACACACGGTTTTCTAGCTACGAGCCAGAGGCTGCCAGCTAACGACTTCTCTCAGGTTCGCATCTGCTTAGGTTGCAGCGTGTACCTGTTGCTAATTTAGTTCTGTACTTCCCGACAGAATGAGAAGCATGCTCTCCGAGTGTTTATGCACCAGCGGGACGCCTGGCAGCAGTTCTAGACATCTTCCTGAGTTCTCTGCTGTGCTCCCGTCTCGAGACAAATCGCCTTAGATGGCCATCATGCTGGGATTTCCCTTTATCAGCATTCTCTCTTCTGCTTTGCAGTCATGGTTTTTTTTCTTTTCTTTTTAAGATTTTACTTATTTGTCAGAGAAAGAGAGCACAAGCAGGGACAGCAGTTGGCAGAGGGAGAAGCAGACTCCCTGTTAAGCAAGGAACCCGACTCAGGGCTCAATCCCAGGACCCTGGGATCATGACCTGAGCCAAAGGCAGACGCTTAACTGACTGAGCCACCCAGGCGCCCCTGCATTCCTGTTTTTCTATTTCAAGGTTTCCTAAGCAGAAAGTGTGAAGTCCTTCCTCGGGAAACCTCCTGAGAATAAGTGCATGCCAGGCAGAATTTTGGAGACTGGTCACTAAGATCCAAGAAAAGTGGAGGCAGGGACTTTCCGAAGGCATCAGTTCCTACTACTGGTATAATAAAAAGCCTGGGTGTATCACTACTCCATAAAAAAAAAAAAAACAAACACATAAAAATGGTCTCTCGGAATTAAAGCAGGGATGGAATAGGGCTTATTCCTATATATTGATCCTTCACAAATTGAGATTTCCTAAATAAGGAAGAGCCTTACGAGAAAGACACCCAAGCTATACAAAATTATGACAAAATCTCATTTAAACTAGTCCTTCTCACTTTATACTTGATGAAAGCATTAAGACTTCACATTTGTCAAATACTAGAATGACCCTTCTCTTCCCCCAGTTCCCTTTGATCTCCTTAAAATTCTGGCAGAGACAAGAAACCTAAATACATAGTTGCAAACTGGCTAAGCAAAGGCATGATAGGTTATACAAAGTGATCTCCAAAGCGGATGGCTACTGCCTGCCTGATCTACAAATGGAGACATTTACAGATTTTTAACCCTCTAATAAAGTATTTCTATCATAGATACTCCCCCAAATAAAGACAGAATATAAACGGATTGCGAGTTGGTCAGTCCATGGAGAGCAAACATGATTTTGCCGCTCCCAAGCCAAGCTGCAGGCATTCCAAGAGGAATACTTTTATTCCTCTAATTGAAAACAAAACCAAACTGCCTGTGCTTTTATACTGTGAAATAAAGAAAAGGAAAACAGAACAAATACCATGTTCTGAGTGCTGCCACTTACCTTATGTCAGTAATGACAACAACGTGCTCACAGTCTCCCTGGTGACAATATAAGTAAGGAAAACCCAGTTTAATATACAGGTCGTTGAAGGTGAAATCTTCCATTTTAGCGGTCTGAAATTTTCCATAGCCTCTGTCATGGGACTCTGACCATTCAATGATAGTTCTGAAGGGGGGGAAAAGACAAGGGCAGTTCGTTATGCCACAAAAACCTAAAAATGACAGAAAACGGTTTGTGACTGCAAGTATCACTCAATGTAACTGGACAGTTGCCACCTTGAGGAGACAATCTTAGTGGCTGACACAGGTAGAAACTAAGAACTCTGAATGTGTCTTTATCCATTATTCTCTAATGGATAAAGTGTGGTTCTGGAAGTCAAGGTGATCTTTGTGATTAAATGTCATTTGCCCTTTTAAACTCCTATTCTCTCATAAATGACCAGTATTCCAAAGGCTACATGATGTGTTTTATCACTTCAGACTGAATGGAAAATGTAGAACAATGACATTCGCCTCATTCTGTTCTGGAAAAGTTATTTTTTTCCCCCAAATTATTAATGTTAACATGTAATAGGATTAAATTAGTTAATATTTAAAATATTTCTTAGTTTCAACTTCTAATATGGTAAATACTGATAGCTAAAGCCCACATAATCATAAAGTCCTTTAGACTCCTCAATTATAGTATAAAGGAATGCGGAAAGCAGCAAGTTTGAGAACTGCTACATTAGAATACAGATACAAATGGCTAAAATGAAAGAGAATGTATATAAACACCCAGAAACGATATACATATATATTCGAGTTGCTAAGACACTGATAGTAAAAGTATGGGCTAATTAACATGACTATGAGCTATAGATTTTTCATGTTATATACTTAACCATATATTTAACATACTCATCTAGGGCAAACAACAGTATATACTGGACAAGCAGAAAAAAACAGTAAGATTAATTTACTGCTATCACCTAAATATGAAAGAGACTAATAACGTGTTTAAGTGGGATTTAAAGTTTCTTAGATGTATCTATGGCTCAATACAAGATCTGCTAGAATTTTTTTTTTTTTTAAAGTAGGCTCCACACCCAACATGGGGCTCAAGCTCACGACCCCCGAGATCAAGAGTTGCTACGGACTGAGCCAGCCAAGTGCCCCAAGATTTGCTGGAATTTCTAAGACAGTAGATAACACAAAGATTTTGAAATAGTCTGTAGATCTTTGATAGGAAAATTTTCTTTCTGAAGTAAAAATTTTGATTAACTTAATAATACCTAGGCCAACCAGATGAAATAACTGAATATACTTTAAAAACTGATATTTCTGACCCCAAAACAAACAAAACAATTCCTTAGCAAAGACCCTTAACAGACCAGTAATAGGATTTGTGGGGATCTCACTATTTCAAGAACTAGAAACAGGAAAAACTGAGAAGATTTTTGAAAACTGTACCTGCTCAAATCTCTGCACTCGGGGTATCTTTTATCATTGTAAAATGTCCCTTCAAAATAAAAGAAGGCTGATTTGTACAGGTCCTATAAGGAAATAGATGGCATTGAAAGAGAGTCTTCTATTAATAATTAGGAAAGTGCTACCAATTCAAAATCTATAGGTCATAAAACCACACTAATATGCTTTACAGTAACTTTATGGAACCTCACAAAATATGCTCAGCTCATTAATTTGTTTACTATTTAATGAGAACCTCCTATGTGACAAGTTTTATGCTATTTACCAGGGATGAAAGTGTAAACATCTGATCCTTGCTGCCATTTTCAATGTTATCCTATTGCTGTTTTAATCACTAGGTCTGATTTAAATTCGTGTATTCTGAGACTTGTGAAAGGAACCTAATTAGAAATGAAATAAACAATATTATTTTATTATATGAATACACAGCAGTGAGTTATTTTGGATACTAGAAGTAAAAACCAAAAGTCACATCTTTGATAGTTCCCCAGCGATAGGTGATTACAGAGTTATGTTTTTCTGTTATTTTTTAGTATTTTCAGCATACTTTTAAAAAAAGATTATTTATTTGAGAAACAGAGATAGCAAGAGAGAGCATGAGCAGGGAGAGGGAGAAGCAGAAGTCCCTCCTGAGCAGGGAGCCCGATGTGGGGCTTGATCCCAGGGCCCTGGGATCATGACCTGAGGTGAAGGCAGACACCTAACCAAGTGAGCTACCCAGGTACCCCTCAGTGTACTTTTTTTTTTTTAAGATTATTTATTTGAGAGAGAGCACAAGCGGGAGGGGCAGAAGGAGAGAGACTCTCCAACAGGCTCCACACTGAGCGTGGAGACCAATGCTGGGCTCGATCCCACGGCCCTGAGATCACTATCTGAAACCAAGATTAGGATACTCAACCAACTGCGCCATCCAGGTGCCCTCAGTGTACTTTTATAAAAATTCTCCCTTCAAATTTTCAATAATTCTTAGGCAGAATTTGAGTATCTATTCTTACTCAAGCAGTCCTTTTTTTTTTTTTAAGATTTTATTTATTTGAGAGAGAGAGCATGAGCAGGGTGAAGGGCAGAGGGAGAAGCAGGCTCCCCGCTGAGCAGGGAGCCTGATGTGGGACTCAATCCCAGGACTTCGGGATCATGACCTCAGCCGAAGACAGACACTTAACGACTGAGCCACCAAGGCGTCCCCTTACTCAAGCAGTCTTGCCCCAGAGGACCAGAGTAGTCACACAACTGGTCTGAACCATCGTCAGGTTTCTTAACTTTCAGGCTACCAGACTTTCCAGAGGCGTGTCTCTTGATCCTCACTGCATAACAGAATCCTAGAAACACCAAAAGACCAATGTCTCACCTCAGAGCCACTGAATGAGAATCTCTCAGGATGTGGCCCAGGCACTAATGTTTCCCCAAGCTCCCCAGGAGATTCAAATGGGCAAGCAGTGCTGAGAAGCACTCTGTTAGACTTGCTCTTCACAATACCCTCACAATCAGAGCCCTGGGGGAGAGTCAGAAGACCTGTGTTCTTTTCCTTAATCTATATATAAGTATTCCTCAGACTTTGGATTCCTCACGGGTGTATCTGTCACACTATCTTACAGGACTGTAAAACCCCAAAGCACTGTATGAACTATGAAACATCTGTAAGTTTCAGGTATTAAAAAAATCTTACTCTAAAATAACCAAATGTATCTCCTTCGAAGCTTCTATTTTTCTTTCTTCATTCCCTCATTTACTTATTATCGGGCAATGGCATCAGACACCCTTATGAGACTAGCTGTGCTGTTTCTCGTTGGGCCGTCCCTCAATTTCCCTGACCCTGTTTCTTCATGTAACATAGGAATAAAGCCATTACCTCCTTCCCAGGTACCTGTAGAGACAAAAGGATAACATGTACCAGAATGCCATATCTAGCTGCTATTAACACAAAAACTGCCACTAAATATACTTCTGGACACTCAAAGAGGTAAGCTAGGATCTAAAATAAAGGTTCTGAAAGGATACTACCTTATTTTGGAAATAAAAACAAAATTCTTCTACAGGGCACCTGGGTGGCTCAGTCGTTAAGCGTCTGCCTTCGGCTCGGGTCAGTATCCCAGGGTCCTGGGATCGAGTCCCACATCTGGCTCCCTGCTCGGCGGGAAGCCTGCTTCTCCCTCTCCCACTCCCCCTGCTTGTGTTTCTGCTCTCGCTATCTGTCTCTGTGTCAAATAAATAAATAAAATCTTTTAAAAAAAAAATGCTTCTACAGAACTTGAGGTGATTTAGGCAACTTAATGCTTTTGGTTGGCATAATTATTTAGAAGGGGTACTGTTTTGCATCTAAATCCGAAGTCATCCATTAGTAACTTTTCCTTGTGTCAGTATACAAATAGAACAGAAGATGTGAGCAATCTCAAAACCAGGTAATTTTGATTTTCAGTGGCAACCAGAGATCCTCACTACTAGTTTCCCTATTTTGTCAGCTATTTTAGCTGACCAACTCTGGGGAGGGGAGGATTGTCAACCAAAATGGAAAACCTAGTGTAAGAAGTTACTTCTGTTATGTACCTAATGTAGCCCCAGAGTCTACTGGTACTATTTCCACTTTATAAACAAAGTAACTATCGAGAACTAACAGGATCATGTGAACAAAGTCATTTATATATAATTTTAGGCATCAGTAGTTTGTTCTCTTGTTAACATTCAAATCAGCTATATTAGAATTTCAGAAATAGGGCGCCTGGGTGGCTCAGTTGGTTGAGCGTCTGCCTTTGGCTTGGGTCGTGATCCCAGGGTCCCGGGATGGAGTCCCGCATTGGGCTCCCTGCTCAGCGGGGGAGTCTGCTTCTCCCTCTCCCTCCACCCCTCCCCACAGCTTCTGCCCTTTCTCTCTCTCTCTCTCTTAAATAAATAAATAAAATCTTAAAAAAAAATTTTTCAGAAGTATTCCTAGGATCTGCTGTGAGAAAATGGTAATGGGAGAGATGCTGAAGAAGCTCTTTGTCTTACACCAGGGCTTTATTATAATAAGTAACAGCAATATGTGCCAAGTATTTTTTTAAGTTCCTCTAAGCAAGACCCTTAAGAGATTATTGACAAAAAAGAAAAAAAAAAACGAATCTGAGTAATGTTAAAAGTAGACCACATATTAAAATGTGAGGGGTCATTAAAAAAACAAAACAAAACAAAAAAACAACACTTGAGTAGAAAATACTGGCCTGATCTTATACATATATTTAAAAAAAAAAAATGCACTCCGGGCGCCTGGGTGGCTCAGTTGGTTAAGCGACTGCCTTCGGCTCAGGTCATGATCCTGGAGTCCCTGGATCGAGTCCCGCATCGGGCTCCCTGCTCGGCAGGGAGTCTGCTTCTCCCTCTGACCCTCTCCCCTCTCATGTGCTCTCTTCCTCATTCTCTCTCTCAAATAAATAAATAAATAAAATCTTTAAAAAAAAAATGCACTCCACTCTTTAACAACAATAGTCCATAAAACAAATGTTAGCAAAACATATTACATTTTAGATATAAGCTTTTAAAATAGATTGAAATAGGGGCGCCTGGGTGGCTCAGTTGTTAAGCGTCTGCCTTCGGCTCAGGTCATGATCCCAGCGTCCTGGGATTGAGCCCCGCATCGGGCTCCCTGCTCCGCAGGAAGCCTGCTTCTCCCTCTCCCACTCCCCCTACTTGTGTTCCCTCTCTCGCTGTGTCTCTCTCTGTCAAATAAATAAAATCTTTAAAATAGATTGAAATATACTGGCTCAATGCTCCCAGTCTTCTCACATACTAAAATCATCTAAGTTAATATTAAAAAGTCTTGCTTATTGGTTGAAATAAAGATTCTCCCTTCCTCAGCTACAAGAACCATAACTCACTGATTTTTTTCCCAGGATTACCAGTGGAATACATGCCAAGTATCTGTCCAAAAAAGCATTATTAACTTACAGACCAATTCTCAATTTTGTTAAGTTTGACAATGGCATGAGGTGAACAGATAAAATAATTTGGCAAGGGGCACCTGGGTGGCTCAGTTGGTTAAGCGTCTGCCTTCGGCTCAGGTCATGATCTCAGGGTCCTGGGATCAAGCCCCACATCGGGCTCCCTGCTCAGCGGGAAGCCTGCTTCTCCTCCTCCCATTCTGCCTGCTTGTGTTCCCTCTCTCGCTGTCAAATAAATAAATAAAATCTTAAAAAAATAATAATAATAATTTGGCAAAATGCTGAGAATTGGTGAAGGTGGGTAATGGGTACATAAGGACTCATACTATTTCTTGTGTGTATGGTCAGAATTTTCCAAGGGACCAGACTCATCAAGAAAGACGAGGACTCAGATAAACAGGGAAAAAAAAATTCCAAAGCAAAAATTAAAAAGAAAACCAAACCATAAAATACAAATGCCCATCAGTGAAATAAAAATCTTTCCATTAGGTCAGACAAATGTTAGCAGAGATTCCAGAGGCCATGTGTTTAGAAGCTGCTGCGACTCTCAGCACAGCTGAGTTTTCACTCGCTGCCTATTCGGCAAGGAAACAAAGGCAGGGAAAGACCCTCACGCCCAGCATCATGCCAACACGGCAAACAAGAATGTGGGGCTTGGAAGGCAAGTTGACAACGATCTGAATGCAGCCTCCACTCTGCTTACCAAACATGGGCAACGCATGACAGCGCTCTAACCCAACTTCTTCGTATCTTTAAACGGCGATAATTCTGTCCAAAGAGTACTTCTGTCTAGCACATGGTAAGTGCTCAATATCCAAGGATATTATTTTTTTTAAGATTCTATTTATTTGTCAGAGAGAGATAGCACAAGCAGGGGGAGCAGCAGGCAGAGAGAGAAGCAGGCCCCCCACCAAGCAGGGAGCCCAATGCTGGGCTCGATCCCAGGACCCTGCGATCATGACCTGAGCCGAAGGCAGACGCTTAATTAACCAACTAAGCCACCCAGGTGCCCCCAGAGGATACTATTTTTTTTAATTTTTTTTTTGCTTTTTTTTTTTTTTTAAAGATTTTATTTATTTATTTGAGAGAGAGAATGAGAGAGAGAGAGAGAGAGAGAGCACATGAGACGGGGGTGGGTCAGAGGGAGAAGCAGACTCCCCGCTGAGCAGGGAGCCCGACGCGGGACTCGATCCCGGGACTCCAGGATCATGACCTGAGCCGATGGCAGTCGCTCAACCAACTGAGCCACCCAGGCGCCCGAGGATACTATTTTAATAAAGAGACGGAAGAGGCAGAAACAATACAACTGCACGTGTGTTAAGTATTTAAAATAGGACAATGGGTCATCCAACCCCCGGCTTAGAAAGCTGCTGAACGCATCAGCACTGATGTACAAACACAACGAACTAGCCACGCCCGGTTAAAAATCCTCTCCAGGGTTCCTGGCACTAAGACTCATTCCCAGATCTGACTCCAACTGCCTTGAGCCGTGAAAACATGATTGCCATCAGAGTGAATTCAGATTTTGCTTATTAAAGTGAATTTATAAAAACTTTGTAATTACACTTTTTTTTTTTTGGTAGGGTAGAGCAATGGCAGAAGACTCCTGCTTCTCCTTTAAAAGAAGATAAATTTTTATTTCCTGGTCTGCACACAGCCTTGAAATTCCATTTGTTTCTCTTTAATCTAATGTTTATTTCCAAGAGCAGCAAGATGCCAAACCTGAAGAAACCAATTATCTTAAAACCATTTTTGGTATAACTAGAAAACTAAGTGAAATCTATGTGAGTCATAGGATGCTGGTCTCCTTGCCAATCACCAAAAGGACTAGAACACTGCCCGCCCTGTGGGGCAGAGAGACATTATCAAATAGCACCACCCGATTATTATAGGCACTATAATAGCCAGACGCAATGGTGCCAGGGTGGCAAAGAGAGGACTGTCAGGAAAAATTTTATGTAATAAGTGAGTTTAAAGCTGGGTTTGGAAATATGAATATGAACCAGATGGATGGAGGGAGGGAAAGGGCTTCCTACCATGTTCAGACATTCGGAGGCATGAAAAAGTGTTATGCTTGAGCAACGTAAATTATCTGTGGCTGAAGCATAAGGTGCAGAAGTAGGGGGTGGATAGTATGGAAAGTTAACTTGGGAATCATCGTTACAAAAGGCCTTATATGTCAGCCTACAGAGCTCCACTTAGATTTTTAAACTGGAGAAGGACAGGATCAACTTCTTTTTATTTTTGAAGACTATTTTTTAATTTTTTTTTAAAGATTTATTTTTTATTTTTCTTAGAGACACAGAAAGCAAGAGCGGGGCAAAGCCTAAATGTATTTTCAAAGTAGAGCCGAAGCTCTTGCTGATACCTTCAATGTGGGAGGAAAAGGAGACAAGGAGGACTCCCAGGTTTTTAGCCCAAGTAACCAGATGCAGAACAGGCATTTACTGAGATAGGAACACTGGGGAGGGCATAAAATGAGGTGGAGACGTAGAGTCTGCTTTTGAACGGAGTAAGTTTGAGATGGCTATTAGACATCCAATAAAAACTGTCGGGGCGCCTGGGTGGCTCAGTTGGTTAAGCGTCTGCCTTCAGCTCAGGTTATGATCCCAGGGCTCTGGGATCGAGCCCCACATCGGGCTCCCTACTTGGTGGGGGGCTTGCTTCTCCCTCTCCCCCTCACCCTGCTTGTGCTCTCTCTCTCTGTCAAATAAATAAACAAATCCTTTAAAAAAAGTAAAATAAAAAAATAAAAACTGTCAAGGATGGGGCACCTGGCTGGCTCAGTTGGAAGAGCATCAGAACTCTTGATCTCAGGGCTGTAAGTTACAGCCCCACGTTGGGTTAGACATTACTTAAATAAATAAAACTTAAATAAAAAAACTGTCAAAACGGTGAGGACATGGGATCCCATGGGCAGGCAGCCTGGCCTCAGGTGGCAACAGCTTTAGTCCAGCCACTGTCCCGCGTGGGAGGGCAGGGTACATGGGCAGATGGCTATATGGAGGTGAGAGGTGATGGAAAGTTCTCTTCTGGTAACTTTATCTCTTCCATGAAACAAACAGCAAGGGTTTTCCACTGATGGTAAGCCATGAGATGTAGGCAGTTTCAGAATGAATCACACAGTTCCCCTGAAAAGGGGCAGAGTGAATCGACTATAGAAATTCGAATAAAATGCCAGGCAGCACTGAGGCTAAACGAAAATGTCCAGGAGGCAGTCAAAACAATGATGCGGAAATCAGGAGAGAACGCGGCGAGAGAGAGACACTAACAAAGATTCGAGTACACTTAAAACCATGAAAACGGAGGAAAGACCGGGAGGATTCATAAGAACCGCCAAAATGAAGTCTACGGTTTTTTAATTTATTTTATTTATTTGAGAGGAAGAGAGACAGAGAGAGAGGGAACACAAGCAGGGGGAGTGGGAGAGGGAAAGCAGGCTTCCCGCGGAGCAGGGAGCCCGATGTGGGGCTCGATCCCAGGACTCCAGGATCATGACCCGAGTCGAAGGCAGACGCTTAACCAACTGAGCCACCCAGGCGCCCTGAAGCCTATATGCTAGCAATAGTTATGTGGCCGGTGGCACAGGAACCAGCAAAATAGTGACTGCGGTGGTTCTCACCCAAACCCTCTCCATTCTAGTTGACCCGAATATCCTTTCCTGACCTATAGGAGAGGCCGCCCTTTTTAAGTGGGCCAGTAAACCTGAGGTCTTCTACCAGAGGTGTACCAAGTAACAGAATTAGCTCAAGTTTGCCCTACCATGAAATACAGAGGGATCAAAACCCTACTACTTTACTGGGCAAGCAATCCCTTCGGAAAACTTTGTGGGCGGCCAGTCTACCACTTTGCCCCTTTCTATCTTTATCCAATGGGTATGTAAACTTCTCTGTCCTTCTGAGAGCAACTCCATGGGAAACAGCAGCAAGGACCAACATCAGATGCTCTCTGTGTCCCTGCTTGGTACTGCGCCTTGAACTGACAGGACCTTCTATGGGCAGTGAGGCTCTCAGGTGGACGCCCACCCTTTGCTGGGGGCAGTTAGGACAGATGTAAACTCAGAGTTTGAAAGAGGAGACAGTGAACAGCAAATTCAAATGCTAGTGAGGTCAAGTTGTATGAACATGGAGAAGAGATTAGACAATTAGGTGGTAACTATGACCTTAAAAGGAAGAGTATATACTAATAGAATGGTTGAGAACTGAAGGGGAGATAGAAAATCGAAACTGAGCACAGCCTCATCTTTGAAAATGTCTTTTTTTTTTTTTAAGATTTTATTTATTTATTTATTTATTTATTTATTTATTTATTTTTAAGATTTTATTTATTTTTTTGACAGAGAGAGACATAGCGAGAGCAGGAACACAAGCAGGGGGAGTGGGAGAGGGAGAAGCAGGCTTCCCGCAGAGCAGGGAGCCCGATGTGGGACTCAATCCCAGGACGCTGGGATCATGAGCTGAGCCAAAGGCAGACGCCTAATGACTGAGTCACCCAGGCGCCCTTATTTATTTATTTGAGAGAGAGAGAGAGAGAACGCATAGAGGGAGAAGGAGAAGCAGACTCCCCGCTGACCAAAGAGCCCAATGCGGGGCTGGATCCCAGAACCCTGGGATCATGAGCTGAGCCAAAGGCAGACGCTTAACGACTGAGCCACCCAGGCGCCCCTGAAAATGTCTTGATGATAAAAAGAAGGGAAGAGATAAACTTGATGGAATGGCATAAAAGAAGAAAGGATTTACTGCAACATTTATGAGTCTGCTAGAGTAGAGTAGTCTGCTAGAGTAATCACTACTTATTTAGCTTATTATTATTGTTATTACTATTATTATTTCTTCTTGTTTTATGAGGGGTAAGAAAAAAAAGAAAACACAACACCTTACTTTGCTTATGTGCTCAGGAGCTTGATCAGGAGTGTTGCTGAATTCCCCACCAATCTGGAGGTCACTGACACAGCAAATTGAATCTCTCAGTTCCGTGAGCTTCTGACTGCCCAACACCAGCATCGTCTGGTATGGTTTGTGTTCTTTGTGCTAAAATTCAAATGGTAAATAAGTGTCCACTTAGAGACGAAGCAATTAAACTGTACATCCTGTCCTGACCAGATTTAGATGAAGTTACTGGTTTTCTGAATTTAAAGTTATCCCCATAACTTAGTGTTCTGTGTTTTCTTAGATTCTGTATTTGTCCATCTGGCATCCATTAATAACAGGGCCAAATTAATGGCCAAAACTGTTTACATCTCCCCCGTGATCCAGAGCCTGGTCTCTGAAGTCACTTCCTTGTTCTCATTCTCACACACCAAGTCAGTATTTGCTCGTCCTAAATCAATGTAAGGTCAGGTAGTGGACAACTAGGGACAGTCCCTAGGCCCCCAACCCGCTGGAATTACTCAACCTAGCCAAGCCCGAACCATTCGCCCTGCCCATGGAAACCTCAATAAAGGCTGTGGCCTTTGGCTTCTCCTCACTCCTTCTGGTTCCCAACTGTCACTGGTGCTTTCCTCTGTGGCCCTGTGGCTGTGGTCGACTTGCTCCTCTCAGGAAATGTAAGTAATTAACATCTCTCAATGGCACTGGCCCCTAGTATAGTCACTCGGCCACCTCCATAACTTAGAATCCCACAGGCAACTGAGACGCTTGGTGTTATGATCTGAATGTCTTTGTCCACCCCAAATTCAGATACTGCAATCCTACCGCCCAAGTGATAGTGTTCGGAGGTTGGGTCTCTGGGAGGGGGGTGATGAGGTGGTGCAGGCTGAGCCTCATGAACGGGGTCAGTGCTCTTATAAAAGATCCCACAGAAAGCCTAGCTCCTTCGGACACCTGAGAGGCCTGTGACCTGGAAGAGGGCCTCACCTGCCTGTGCTAGCCCCAAGCTTGGACTCCCAACATCCAGAACTGGGACAAACTGCTGGTTATAAGCCACTCGATCAGCGGTATTTTGTTACAGCGGCCACAAAGGACTAAGACACTTGGCAACAGAACTTTCTTAGTTTAAGCTAAAGTTTATGGGGTGCCTGGGTGGCTCAGTCATTAGGTGCCTGCCTTCGGCTCGGGTTGTGATCCCAGGGTCCTGGGATCGAGCCCCACATCAGGCTCCCTGCTTGGCGGGGAGCCTGCTTCTCACTCTGCCTGCCGCTCCCCCTGCTTGTCCTCTTTCTCTCTTTCTCTGTCAAATAAATAAAATCTTTAAAAAAACAAAATAAGCTAAAGTTTATAATCAAGATGCTACTAAAATGAAAGTACCAATAACCTTTGGAATATAACTTCATCTAGCAGCACTGTGTTTTATTTATTATTATTATTTTAAGTAGGCTCCACGTCCAACCCAGGGCTTGAACTCATAACCCTGAGATCAAGACCTGAGATCAAGAATTGGATGATCTACACTGACTGAGCCACCCAGACGCCCCAGCAGCAGTGTGTTTTAAAATTTCCTCCAAACAACCTATACACTACTCTCATGTTATAGACCCAGAGGTTCCGTTTTATTGGTTTGGTTTGACTGGTAATTTCAGATCTTAATCAAACAAGGTAATTAGTACTAACTATATCCCAGCTGCTTCATTATTGACTATTCACAAGTGCAATTCATGTATAGTAATATTTCAATTAAACCTTATCAAAGTTTGTGACATCTATTTGGGGAATCAAGAATACACACACTAGGGGCTACGGTAGAATTCTTTTTATCAGAGACCTCTAAGAAATTTCTGAATACTCTGTTAACTTTCTGCATTTTCATCAAAGAAGAGCTGTTTTTAGTTAGTTTTGACAGCTTCCCAAGTATTCTGAATCGGTGAACAAAGGGTACCCTACTCCTTTACCAGTCACCTATTCTGTAAAAAACAAACAAACAAACAAACAACACCTAAGAAACAAACCCAAGAATTCACATAATTACAATCACTGTGGATTTACATATACTTTCAGTTGCTTCCAGTGCAGCAATTACAAATAAATTCCAGTATTATAACTGTTACATAAAACAGTGTATGTTTGCATTTATTTTGAACCAAATTTTGAATTTGAGTAATTCAAATTATTAAACCCTTTGGCAAAAGTCACCCATATTATCTGTGAAATTCAAAAGGTTTTACTACTGACCTTATGAAATATAATAGGGTATAAGATATTCACAGATAGGATAAGCTCCCCTTCTTCAATCATGTCTGCTGGATTTTCAGGCTTTTTTCCTATGGCATGTGACTCCTGAAGGAGAAAAACAAGTAAGAGACCTTAAAATCACAGTGTGACTCAGCAAAGAGGGAGTGTGGAACAACAGCTGTAAGCAAGGCTAGAGTCAGGCAGCCCTGGCTTTGACTCCTAATTTTACTTTAAGAAAATTGCTAAAACCTCTCTTAAGCTTTAGTTTCATCTTCTGTAAAAAAAAAAACAAAAACAAAACAGAAAATACTCATTTTACAGAACTATTGCTGGGAATGTGTACATACTGTATCTAATATGGTTGGCACTAAATGCTTAGCAACTGATGATAAAACAGGAATATCAACTAATGCTGGTATAACACTGGCATTTACAGCTGCTCATAACACTTGTACATACCTCCTCTCACACTATTACAAGAGCTATTTGACAGATGCACAGAGGTTCAGATTTACCTAAGGTAAATCAGCAAGTCTGGATGCAGATCAGTTTGGCTCTAAAACCAACACAGTCTTGCTTTTTACAACATTCTCACATCTGTAATACCTCACACTTCTATTATGTGAGCACAATGACTACAAAATAAAAGCCCCCAGAGCAGACTAGTTAAGAAGTACAGGTGTAAAAGTAAGAGGAAGTGACAATACGCAAAATGGCATAGTCGGCAGCTCTAGGGATCAGTCCCTCCACCAAAGCAACCAGTAAGATGGAAAGAGAGATCGGAACCAACTGTTTTGGAATTCTGGAACCTGGTCAGTCAGTTACATCGACTAGGAAAGTGTTTGATGAAAGGATAATCTTTCATTAGTAAGCACAGAGTGCAAACCAACTGCCACCCCCCATTCCTCAGCCCCACTGCAGATGTGGGAATAGGGGCCTATGTTCCTGAATAGATGGCTGATGCCATGACAAGCAAGGGCGACCTTGTTCTCCCAAAACTGGGGGTTTTGTTGCTCTGGTAATGTCCTGATGACCCGCTGCAGACACCTGCCTGGGTTTTGGTCTCCTGGTAGCAGTGGCTTCCCACAGCAGCAGCTACTGGGAAATTTAGAAACAGGGCCTTTTCTTTTTTTTAAATTTGTGGAGGCAGACATTTAAGGAAATCTTGAACTCTTGGCTGTCCACAGAGATAATAAAACAGAAATATCCATAACCATACACAATAAGGAGTACACGCAGCTCCAACAATCAACAAGTAAAAAAATTTACTCAGAATGTCCAGTACAGATTCGTTGTTCTCCATAAAAACATAAAGCACACAAAGAAACAAGAAAATATGTCACATTCACAAGAAAAAAAAAAAATCTGACAAAAGCCACCCTCGAGGAAGCCCAGATACAGAAGTTACTTGTCAAAGCTGTTAAATCAACTGTTTTAAATGCATTCAGTGAGCTGGGAGTAGGACAACATATTTGAAGTCATGAAAGAAAAAAACACCATTAACCAAGAATTCTATGCCTGGCAAAACTATCCTTCAGGAATGAAAAAGAAATTAAGGCATTTTCAGATAAAAAAAGAGGGGGGAGAGTTCATTACCGGTAGGCTTTGTACAAGAAACGCTAAAGAGAGTTCTTCAGGATGAAGTGAGAAGACACTAGACAGTAACTTGAATCCATAAGAAGAAATAAAGAACACCGGTAATGGTAACTACATAGGCAAATATAAAAGCCAAAGCTATTATACTTTTAGTTTATAACTTTTTTTCTCAAAAGCAAATGCATAAAACAGTATTTATAAATTTATGTTAACAGACACACAAAGAGATGATGAGACAATAACAACATCAAGGGAGAGGGACAGAGATGTATAAAAGCAGAGTATCTGTCCTTGAAGGCACTACTGAAACAAAGTTGGTATTATTAAGATTAGGTTGTTATAGTTTTAAGATGGTAATTGTAATCCACAAGGTAACCACTACAAAAACAAGTAAAACACATACATATGGAAAGAAGGAAAACAAAATACACCCTAAAAATTCAACTAAATACCAAAAAGGACAATAACAGAGGAACCAAGGAACAAAAGATAGGTATGGCATACAGATGCCTAAATGGCAGAAATAAAGTAATTACTTTAATACAGGTGGGCTAGACTTTCCCATTAAAAAGGCAAAGATTGGCAGAATGGATTAAAAATATTTCATCATCTATACACTCTCTGTAAGAGACTCACTTTAGACGTGAAGACACAAAGAGGTTGGAAGTAAAAAAATGGAAAAAGGTATTCCACACAAATAGTAACCAAATGAAAGCTATATTATTGTCAGATAAAACGGACTTTAAGTAAAAAAAGGTTACAGGAGACAAAGGAGGGCATTGTATATTGATAAAATATGCAATCCAAAAAGATACAATAATTATATACATACGTAGCTAACAACAGAATGCCAAAATATATGAAGCAAAACTGACAGAACTGAAGGGAGAAATACATTGTTCTATGATAATAGGTGGAAACTTCAATACCCCACTTCCAATAATGAGTAGAATAACCACACAGAAAATTAATAAGGAAATAACACTACAAACCAATGAGATCTCACTGACAGATACAGAACACTCCATCCAACAATACATTCTTCTCAAGTGCACATGAACAATTCTCTGAGATAGACCACCAAGTCTTTTTTTTTTAATAAAGATTTTTTTTTTAATTTATTTATTTGAGAGAGAGCATGAGAGGGGTGAGGGTCAGAGGGAGAAGCAGACTCCCTGCTGAGCAGGGAGCCCGATGCGGGACTCGATCCTGGGACTCCAGGATCATGACCTGAGCCGAAGGCAGTCGCTTAACCAACTGAGCCACCCAGGCGCCCTAGACCACCAAGTCTTAATGAATTTGAAAGTACTAAATCAATTAAAGTATATTTTCTGTTTATAATTGAATAAAACTAGAAATCGTAATAGGAACAAAACTAAAAATTCAGTGGATATTAAATAACACACTCTTAAATGACCAATGGGTCAAAAAAGAAATCACAAGGGAAATTAGAAAATACCTTGAGACAAATGAAAACGAAAACAGAACATAGAAACTTCTAGGACGCAGCAAAAGCAGTACAAAGAGGGAAACTTAACAGCTGTAGACATCTGCATTAAAAAAAGAACAATTCAAGTAAATAACCTTACTGTATACACTAAGGAACTGGAAAAAGAAGAGCAAACTAAACCCAAAACTAGCAGAAGGACGGTAACAATCAAAACGAATCCAAGGGGCGCCTGAGTGGCTCAGTCGTTAAGCATCTGCCTTCTGCTCAGGTCTGATCCCAGGGTCATGGGATCAAGTCCCACATGGGGCTCCCTGCTTGGCGGGAAGCCTGCTTCTCCCTCTCCCACTCCCCCCTGCTTGTGTTCCCTCTCTCGCTGTGTCTCTGTCACATAAATACATACATACATACATACATACATACCGACCAACCGACCCAGGACTAGTGTAGTTCACTGGTGAACTACACTAAAGAATTATATCAATCCTCCCCCAACATCTTCCAAGAAGTTTGAAGAGAGAATACTTTTTTTTTTTTTTAAAGTATGCTCTATGCCCAAAGTGAAGTCAAGAGTCACATGCTCTACCAACTGAGCCAGCCGGGCATCCTGAGGGAATACGTTTTTTAAGATTTTATTTATTTGGGGTGCGGGGGGGAAGCAGACTCCCTGCTGACCAGGGAGCCCGATGTAGGGCTCGATCCCAGGACCCCGGGATCATGACCTGACTGGAAGGCATTGCCCAACCATGCAGATGCCCCCAGAGGGAATACTACTTCTTAACTCATTCTATGAGATCAACATACTCTGATAGCAAAGCCAGACAAAGACACCACAAGAAAACTACAGGCCAGTATCATTTATGAATATAAATGCAAAACTCCCTAACAAAATACTAGCAAACCGGGTCACGTGGGTGGCTCAGTCGGTTAAGCATCTGCCTTCAGCTCAGGTCATGATCTCAAGAGTCCTGGGATCAAGCCCCACATTGGGGCTCCCTGCTCAGGGGAGAACCTGCTTCTCCCTCTCCCTCTGCTCCTCCCCCCATGCTCTCACTCTCTCTTGCTCGATCTCAAATAAATAAATAATCTTTAAAACCAAAATACTAGCAAACCAAATTCAGCAGCATATAAAAAGGATGATATACCACAGCCAAGCGGGGTTTATCCTCAGGATGCAAGAGTAGTTCAACACACGCAAATCAATCAATGTAATACACCACACTAACAGAGGATGGAAAAAACCCACACCATTATTTCACTGAAATGCAGAAAAGATATGAGGAAATCCAATGCCTTTTCACAACAAAGGCACTGAATAAACTCGGAACAGAAGGGCACTTCTTCAACATGATGAAGGACATATATAAAAAATCCACAGCTAAAATCATACTCAGTGGTGAAAAACAATAAGGATGTGTACTGTTGCCACTTCTGCTCAACACAGTACTAGAAATTCTAGCCAGAATAATGAGATTAAAAAAGGAAGAAAGGAAAAAGAATGAATGAGCAACCAAATTAGAAAGAGATAAAGTTACTTGTTTGCAGATGACAGGCATGATCTTCTATGTATAAAATCCTAAAGAATCCACACAAAAAACCTATTAGAGCTAATAAATTTACCAAAGTTGCAGCCTACAAAATCAACACACAAAAACTGGTTATATTTCTATATAGCAGCAGTGTACAACTTAAAAAGGATATCAAGAAAATAATTCCATTTAAAGTATCATCAAAAGGAATAAAATACTTAGGAATAAATCTAACAGAAATGAAAAGACATGGGATGCCTGCCTGGCTCAGTCGGTAGAGCATGTGACTCTTGATCTCAGGGTTGTGAGTTCAAGCCCCATGTTGGGTGTAGAAATTACTTTAAGAGAATAAAAAAATCTTAAAAAAAAGAGAAAGAAATCAAAGGCTTTTACACTTAAAAACTACAAAATGTTACTGAACAAAATTAATGACAACTTAAATAAATTTAAAGACAAGGCTTGTTCATGGATTAGAAGATGTTCAAATGACAACACTACCCCAAATCATATACAGAGTCAATTCAATCCCTATCAAAATCACTATGGGTTTTTTTTTTTTTTGACCCAGAAATAAAACCACCCTCCTAAAATCCCAAGGGAATTCCGAGGAACCATAAACAGCCAAAACAATCCTGAAAAAGATTAAAATTGGAAGACTCACATTTCCCAATTTCAAAAACGACCACAAAGCTATAATAATCAAAACAGGATTAGGCTGAAGGTAAGACAGACATACAGACTCATGGAATAGAATGGAGAACTCAGAAATAAATCTTGTATGGTCAACTGACTTTTAACGAAGGTGTCAAGACCATTCAACACACCATTCTTCAACAAATGGTGCTGGGAAAACTGGATATCCACATACAAATGAATGAAGTTATACCTTTTCCTTATATATAAAAATTAACTCAAAATGGATCAAAGACTTGAACTAAGAGCTAAAACTATAAACTCTTAGACGAAAACATGGGGGAAAGCTTCATTACTACAATGGATTTGAAGATAGTTTAAGTACAACACCAAAAGCACAGATATCAACAACAAAAAGATAAAGTGAACTTAATCAAATTTTAAAACTTTTGTACATCAGAGGACACTATCAAGGGAGTGAAAAGATGACCTGTAGATGGGAGAAAACATTTTAAAATCACACATATGGTAAGGGTCTAGTATCCAGAATATACAAAGAACTCTTACAACTCAACAAAGGGACAACCCAATTAAAAAACTAGTAAAGGACTTGAATAGACATTTCTCCAAAGATGACATTCAAATGGCCAAAAGGCACATGAAAAGATGCTCAACATCACTTACCATCTGGAAAATGCAAATTGAAATCATAATGCGATACCATTTTATGCCCACTAGGATGGCTATTCTCAAACAATAACAAATGTTGGAAGAGGATGTGGAGAAACTGGAACCTTTGTGCATTGCTAATGGGACTGTCAAATGACCCAGCTGCTGTGGAAAAGTCTGATGGTTCCTCAAGATGTTAAACCTAGATTAGCATATGCCTGAGCAATTACACTCCCAGGTATATACTGAAAAGAACTGAAAATGGACTCAAACAGATACCTGTATACTGGTGTTCATAGCAGCATTATTTATAATAGCCAAAAAATGGAAATAAGCCAAATGGCCATCAGAAGATGAACAGATAAACAAAATGTGGTATATCCATACAAGGAAATATTATTCAGTCACAGATAAAATCTTTAAAACATTATACTAAGTAAAATAAGCTGAACACAAAAGAACAAATATTGCATGATTCCACTTACATGAGGTATCTAGAACAGGCAAATTCATAGAGACAGAAAGTAGAATAAAGGTTACCAGGGGCTGAGGGAAAGGAAAATGGGGAGTTATTTACTCAGTACAGAATTTCTGTTTGAGATGATGAAAAAGTTCTGGAAATACTGATGGGTACATAACACAGTCAATGTACTTAATGCCACTTAAACTGGCCACTTAAACTGAACATTTAACAATGGTTAAAATAGTAAATTTTATGTTATGTGAATTTTACCACAATAAAAAATAAGTGGGAGAGAAAACAGATGCCTTTATGTACTACCAAGTGACCAACACAGCATCTGACACACAGTAGGTCTTCAAGAATATGTACTGAATGAACCCATCATGTCTAACACTTAATTCCTCATTATTTATCAACTTAAATTTTTCTGAGGGTTTACATAAGAGATGGTGGATTAAGAATGTGATTAAACTACAATCAGGAGCAGAAAAAAAGTACCAGCAATAGGGAGATGAAAAGGCATGAATTTAGCCTAATATAGAGAGCAAAACCAAACTAAAAGCAGAAATAAAGGGGTGCTTGGGTGGCTCAGTCAGTTAAGCTCGAGTCATGATCCCAGGGTCCTGGGATTGAGCCCCGCATCAGGTTCCCTGCTCAGGAAGGAGTTTACTTCTCCCTCTCCCTCTGCTGCTCCCCCTGCTTGTGCTCTTTCTCTGTCAAACAAACAAACAAACAAATGCAAGAATAAAGGCAGAGATCTGAAAGAATCAAATGTGCCATCACTTGAATTTTTTCTTCAAGATTTTTATTTATTTATTTGAGACAGAGGCAGACATAGTGAGAGAGAGCACAGGAGCGAGGAGAGAAGTAGGCTCCCAAGTGAGCAGGGAGCCCGATGGCGGATCAGGACCTGAGCCGAAGGCAGACGTTTAACCGACTGAGCCACCCAGGTGCCCCCCGATCACCTGAGTTCTGTGGGTCTTTTTCTCCTACCAGTTCCCAGTCCCAATGAGGTTTCTCTAAGTTTGTTTTCAGCTAAGCATATCCAATATAAAGCCACCCTACAGTCATCACTAACACCCAATGACAGAGTGTTTCACTGTTTCATGGGGAAAAAAAAAGAAAGATGAGACTCTTACCATCTCATAAGCAAATGTTTCTTGTCTGCAAACCCGATCTATTGTTATGGTTTCTTCCCGCTGTTCCAGAAGTTTCTTTCTAACCCTGTTAGAAGAACAAGAAAAATCAAACTTCAACACCTTTACTGGGTCTTCCAAGATATCTTTAATACTTAACTTTTATTTGAACTAATTTTTTTTTTTTTTTTTTTTTGAGAGAGAGGCAGGGGCAGAGGGAGAAGAAGAGAGAATCCCAAGCAGGCTCCATGCCCAGCAATCTCTGAGATCATGACTTGAACTGACATCAAGTCGGACACTTAACTGACTGAGCCACCCAGGCACCCCTTGAACGAATTTTGAACTAATTTTAGACTTATAGCTAAAAGAAGCTGTAAAAATAGTAGAGTCCCCTTATATCTCTCACCCGGTTTTCCCTATATTAACACCTTACATGACCATAATTATCAAGATCAGAAAATTAACATTAATATAGTATTAGTAACTCTAAGTCTTTTTTGAATTTTACAAGTTTTTAAATGTAATGCCTTTTCTTCTGCCCCAGGATCCTCTGTAGGACACTACACTGCATTCCCTCCATTTGTCTGCAGTATGGCAGTTTTCCTCGTCTTTCATCACTTTGACACTTCTGAAGAGCTCTACTTTGTTATTTTGTAGAACGTCCTTGAATTTGCACTGACTGCTGGTTGCTTAAGACTGGAGTAATGCTGCGCATTTTTGGCATGAATACCACAAGAATGATGTCCCCACGGTGTCATACCAAGAGGTTCATGATGTTGATATTAACATGTCTTGTCACTGGTGATGTTTACTTTGGTTAAGTTCCTGTCTGCCAGATTCCTACGCTAGAAAGATACTTTCTTTTCTTTTCCTTTGTACTCGCTAAGTATTTAGGGGAAGATACTTTGAAACCATGCAAATCTTGTTTCTCCTCACTTTCACCCAGGGTTTTTAGCATTCAAAAGATTTTGTCTGCAACATTTATTACTGTGGAATATGCCTAAGGGCGATTCCCTATTTCCCTCCTTCTACATTTATTCACTGGTATTATGAGGAAGACCTATCTCTCTCCTTCCATTTATTTGATCATTTATATTAATATGAACTCGTATTTATTTCATTCTGTAGGTTAAAATCTAATACTATCATTATTCTATTGATCAAACTGTTCTACCTGTGGCTGTTAGGCACTCCTTTGAGTTGGCTCCTGTCTTTCAACAAACCCTCTTTTTTTTTTTTTAAAGATTTTATTTATTTATTTGAGAGAGAGAATGAGATAGAGAGAGCATGAGAGGGGGGAGGGGCAGAGGGAGAAGCAGACTCCCCGCTGAGCAGGGAGCCCGATGCGGGACTCGATCCCAGGACTCCAGGATCATGACCTGAGCCGAAGGCAGTCGCTTAACCAACTGAGCCACCCAGGCGCCCAACCCTCATCCTTTTTTTGAGCATCTCCTTACTTTCTAGCACCGTAAGCTCCAGGCTCACCTTGCACTTCCTTGTCTCAGTCCGGAAATCAAGTACTAAGAGCCTCAATGAGACTTTTTTTAAGGATTTTATTTATTTGAGGGGCGCCTGGTTGGCTCAGTCATTAGGCGTCTGCCTTCGGCTCGGGTCATGATCCCGGGGTCCTGGGATCAAGCCCCGCATCGGGCTCTCTGCTCGGCAGGGGGCCTGCTTCTCCCTCTCCCAACTCCCTCTGCTTGTGTTCCCTCTCTTGCTGTTTCTCTCTCTGTGAAATAAATAAATAAAATCTTAAAAAAAAAAAAAAGATTTTATTTATTTGAGAGAGAGAGAGAAAGTACGAGCAGGGGGAGAAGCAGGTTCCCCGCTGAGCAGGGAGCCCGATGCGGGACTCGATCCCAGGACCCTGGGATCATGACCTGAGCTGAAGGCAGATGCTTAACTGACTGAGCCACCCAGGCGCTCGAGACAGGTGTTCAGAGGCCATTAGCTAAGTGCTAGGCATTACTGTTACTGCAGTCAGCGCTTCTTCTAGACCTCTCGGGAGGGAAAGGCAGAAAACATACCTCTGTGTATTATTCCACCCATGTACGAACATCTGCACTTCTGTATTTTTCTGTTATGTACTTAAAACCATTAGTTTATACTGCTACTTCTAATCCCAAACTAAAAATCACTCATTTTAGCTTTTAACCTTTCCTTGTAACTTTTTTCTTCACAAGTGAGAAACCCCGCTCCCATTATCTATTAATTATTTGAGTCTAGAAAACACATAGTTTCAGCATTGCTGATCTGTAACCCTATGAGAAACACTAAAACATGAACAGCGCTCTTTGTTTTTAGTCTTGTAACACTGAATCAAGATACGTTTTTGTAGGACTTAGGTTAGTCCTTTCTTCCCCATTCTCTCCAGCGTTGTTATGTTGTGACACAGGCTCATGTGTTAGTGGTTTTTTAAAAATTTTATTCATTTTAGATTTTATTTATTTATTTGAGAGACAGAAATAGTGAGAGAGAGAGAGAGAGAGAGAGAGAGAACACAAGCAAGGTGAGGGGCAGAGGAAGCAGACACCCCGCCGAGCAGGGAGACGGATGCGGGGCTCGATCCCGGGACTCCGGGATCATGACCTGAGCGGAAGGCTGACATTTAAGCAACTGAGCCACCCAGGCATCCCTCATGTGTTAGTTTTTATACTCTATTCTGGGTTCTCCCACCCATATCCTGGTTGGTTTTGATTGCTTTTGGGATGTGTAAAAGACAGGTGAAACATCACTATGGTTCTAAGAATCAGAGTTATAAATATATATATAAACACACTCAAAGAAGGTCATTCCCTCTTCACCCCTACTAACTTGTTCATACTCCCTCCTTACCTCCTATCCCGTTCCCACCCACTCCTTGCAGGCAACCAATCTCTAGAGTTCTTGTTTATCCTTTCCATTTTTGTTCAAATAAGCAAATATCTTGTGGATTTTCCTAAATTTTTCTATCATTCTGAGACCTACACAGTAATTAGAACAGAGAAAGCTTAATGCAAAGATTAACAGAGGGTTAGAGTAATGAGAGATTAGCACATAACAAGAGAACTCTAGAATATAGGAATAGCAGATATAAGGAGTACCCTACCATTTGGGCGGAGAAAGCGTACCCAACAAGTCTTCCTCTTCCCCCCCAGGACTGAGATCTGCACTTTGCTGGAAGGCCATGGCTGTGACTCACTGAATGGCAGAGAAAGTGGCTATGGTTCTCCACCAGTGGAACTGTGGAAATCTAGGGTACCAGGAAAAGCTGTACAAGAGAAGCATCAAGGGGAGAGGAGTGGTAGGGAAGCTGCTGGGCAGTGGGTGCTACAGGCTGCCTGGTACTCCAGGCCCCGGACACACTGCCCACTGGACCAGGAAGCAAAACCCTTCCCTCTGGCAACCCTTCCCTCTCCATCTTTACTGACAAAGCATTACACTGTGCCAGCTGACAAAGGATAAATATTTATTTAAAGGGCCAAGGCCTATTTTTACAGAGCAGGCAAAAAAAGCCAATTTACAGATGAGAGCCAACAAACTGATAACTTGCAAACCTACTTTCCACATGGAAGGTAGCATATGCTTTTGGGCTTTGCTTTTTTCCTGTAACGGTATCTCCTAGAAATCACCCTATTGGTTCATCCTTGCTCATCCTTCAGTATAGCTGCCCAACACTCAACTGTGTGGATGTCCTACAGTTTGTTCAACACTCTCCTATGCATGTATATTTAGGGCAATTCAAATATTTTGCAATTACAAACAATGCTGCAATGAATAACCCTGTAAATTTCATACTGCTGGAGGTGTATCTTTAGTATAGACTGCTAGAAGTGGGACTGACTGGATGAAAAGGTAAGCACCTATGTATTTTGTCTCAGACATTACCAAATCGCCCTAGAGAAGGCTTGTACCAATCTGCATTTCCATCAGCAATGTACAGAAATGCCCGTTTCTTCACGGCCTCATCAAAAGAATACATATTTTTAAATTTGTGCTGGTCTGATAAGTGAGAAAAGGTATCTTAGTGTCATTTCAATTTGCATTTCTCAAATTATGAATATATTTTTTCATGTCTGTGAGTCATTTTTATATCTTTTTTGTGTGTGAACTCTTGGTTTATCTTTTTCACATTTTTCCACTGTGTTTTTGGTCTTTGTCCCTCAACTTTTAAGGTCTTCTATATGAGGGTTATTGGTTTTTTGTGGTACATATTTTTTCCAAGTTTGACAGCTATCTTTTGTTTATGGTGTGTTTTATGTAGTCAATTTTATCAAATCTTTCTTTTATTACCTCTGGATTTAAATCATAGTTAGAAAGCCTTTCACTATAACAAAATGTGTATGTTTTATTCTCTACATTTCAATCCCTAATCCCTTTGGAGTTTATTCTTGTGTAAATAGCGTCATACTAAATTTCCACAAGTATTAGAATCTAACTGGGCTTTCTCTTCTACTCCACTGGTCTATTGTCTCTTCATGAGCTAGTAGCCACTGTTTTAATTACAAAGACTTTGTGGTATATTTTAATATCTGGTAAAATTAGTACACCTCACAATCTTCTTCAGCCCCCCCCCCCCCAGGGGTTTTTCCCAGATATAGTCCCTATGAACTTTATCACAACTTGTCTAACTTCCTAAAATAACCAATAGATCTGGCATTTTTACTGTGATTGCTCTTAATTTATAAATTAACTTAGAACTGACATAGGGGTGCCTGGGTGACTCAGTCATTTAAGTGCCTGACTTTAGATTTCGGCTCAGGTCACAATCTCAGGATTGTGAGATTCTGACTTTGGATTACGGCTCAGGTCATGATTTCAGAATTGTGAGATCGAGCGCAGTGTCAGACTCCACACAGCAGGCAGTCTGCTTCTCTCCCTCTCCCCCTGCTCTCCCTCTCTAAAATAAATAAATAAATCTTACAAAAATAAAGAGCTGACAGCATAATAATTTTTAAGATTCCTATCCAAGAAGAGAGGACATCTTTCACTATTTTCAAGTCTTTTTCCAAGTCTTCCCAGATTGTTTTAAAATTTTCCTTACCTAGGTTTTACATATTTCTTGTTGAATTTATTCCTAAGTATTTAATCTTCTTTTTGACTATTATC